CTTGTCCAACAGTGACGTACATATGCACGCAGATTTCCTCCTGAAAATACTCGTCTAAATGCGGAATAAAAAGTGACGACCTGACGCTCTTGCGTCTTCTGTTCAGATGTCATCATGTAAACGTGGCCTGAATTGTAATGTAGCGTAGTGCTGGAACCTTATGATAGATACGTTTAATCTATACTGTGGAACATTCTAGACAAAGCAATAGCAGATCCTCTTCTAGAAATATTATGCAGTGCACATTTAATGCTAAAAGAGTGACGTTAAAACCCTCTTGACTTTATTTTATTTATTCTTTATTTCACACACGAACATTATCCGTAGTTACATACACACAATCACGTTTTACACCCCCACAAGATCCTCCGCAGCCAACACGGCCTTATAAATCTAGCCTTTTCAAACTAGTACTATTGCCTAATCACCTTTTATACCGCTCCTCCCTTGTCTCATCGTCACCTCTCGTCTGTCTCCCTCACTGCGTCTCCACAAACCCAACAGCCAGTTTCGCTCTGAGTTTATCATAAATTACAGATTGCATTGTTACCGACCAATCCTCTTACGGTAAGCAGTTTTGAGGAGGCAGGCGACTGTCATGAACTCTGAAAGGACTCGAGAAAATGCTTCAACTTTAGCCCCTGATCCAGACTCGAATACTCTTCACATGTGGGGTAACTGAATACATACAAATAAAAGATATATTTTAGTACTCCGAAACTGTACTGTGAAAAAACAAAGACATACTTCACTTATACTATCTATAAGTCGGTGATACAGGTGGTATTACTGCGATGGTGACAGAAGCTCAGTTGGTAAGAGCGTTTGTTTGTATACTGATCTGAAATTTGGCGGTGCAATTCCTGCTCCCACAGAAGAATGCTGTTGTAGTGTCCTTGGGCAAGACACTTAACCAATCTATCCCCCAGTGTTTGTGTAGCCTGGTGTGTGAATGGGCGAGTGGTTCCTTGATGTAAAGCGCTTTTGAGTGGAAGTGGAAAAGCGCTGTATAAATATGTGACCATTTACTAATTTAAGTTAAAGTTATATCTTTAGATAAGGACAAACATATTTTTACACATAATCAACATGATACGATACATATCTCTGTGCAGTGAGCTTTCGATTCAGTCGATTTGATACAGTCCAATAAAAAAATGAAGGCTAAATCATGGCTGTGATACTTAAAGTCTTTGTTAAACCACTTCTTGTGCGAAGTTCACATGAAACACAAACATTTTAATCATCAAAACAGTGAATATGTCAAATGTGTCACATAAATGAGTTTCCTTCTTCTGAACACGCAACAAAAGTGTAGAGCTGTAATAAAATAATTTAGTAAAATCTCCCAAAAAATACTCTGGGCGATATATTGATACAGGAGCCCACGACCCACATTCAACGATACGATATATCGATATTTTGATATTTTTGCACACACCTCACCTAGTGTCCACCCCATCACAGTTCAATACAAAACACAATAGATAAATCCCATGAAACGCGGAAGTAGAGCGGAAGGAAAGCAGCGCCGCCGTTACTGCAGTGCTTAGCGGAAGTAGTACTGTATTCTCCGGGCGATTAGGCTCTTAAACCTCTAACTGCATCAAAAAACGACCGCGCGCCCCACAATCCAGAGCTCCCTATACACGAATCCACTCGGGTGTCCCAGCACGACTCCAGTAAACTATAAAGTCGCACCACCCGCAGCGCACGCAAACACACACGGAGCAGACAGCGACCGCACAGCGAAACACACCCACAGACACACTCATCGCTCCACATGGACGAGGAACGGAATGAAGGAACGAACCGAAAAAGCGAGTGCAATGTGCCACTTCTAGACACAACTGAACAACTGAGTCACTGCGAACACGCTGACAATCCAGCGGTGACAGACAGCACCCTCCCTACACGCCACAACTGAACAAAGCCCAGAGTCACCGTGAACGAACAAACAAAGTCCCACTGACCCATCCAACTGTTGTGTTTCCTTTAAAGTCCGGTGCGGTTTATTTGTGAAAAAAAGTTTGAAAATAGACCATTCAATGACAATGCGCCTTATAACCCAGAGCGCCTAATCGTCCGTAAAATATGGTAGTGCGTTGGTCCCGTAGCGGTAGTTGCTCAGATGTTAGCCAAAATCCTTCTTTATTTCCACGTTGAGGTAAGAGTTCACTGCTTAAGATAAGATAAGATAATAAGATAATCCTTTATTGTCTCCCATGGGAGAAATTTGTCTTGGGACAGGGGGTAACATGTTTTATCAAAAAAACAGGACAACACAACACAAAGCAGCACATAAACAAACACCATAAAACAAAGTAAATATGAGACCAACTATGACCACGAGTGATGCACCAAACAGGACCCTTAAATTATCCTTAACAGGCAAACCCTTGCATTCTTCTGTTCTATTAATTATTGCACATTCCCTAAACCTATGTGCAGTTTTAGTTTATAATTATTGACACACTTCCCTAAGCCTATGTGCAGTTTTAGTTGTTATAATTATTGCACATTCCCTAAGCCTATGTGCAGTTTTGATTGCACATCCTTAGCCTATGTGCAGAAAATGCACATTCCCTAAGCCTATGTGCAGTTTTGATTGCACATTCCCTTAGCCTATGTGCAGATTTAATTATTGCACATTCCCTAAGCCTATGTGTAGTTTTAATTGCACAATCCCTAAGCCTTTTATAATTATTTTTTAACTGCATTATCTGAGTTTAGCAGTTTAACAGCTAGTGGCACAAAAGAATGTTTGAATCTGTTCAGTTTACAGTTTGGGACCCTGTACCTTCTGCCTGATGGCATCAACTCAAACTGACTGTGAAGAACATGGGTTGGGTCATTGATCACCTTCCTGCTGAGCTTCCTAACAGTCTCCTCAAAAATTTGCTGAAGTGAGCTTGCTTGCGAGAACCTGACGACACTCTTCAAAGTGATGACCTCCTCTGCGACGGCATTCAGAATCCTGGACCCACCACCACCTGGACCTCAGATAGTTCTGCCCTTCTATCAGGGACCCTGTAGTTTAGGTTTTGACTCATGTCACATGCCAGTCGATCAATAAAATAATCCATAATTCTGAAGAACATTTATTTTACTGGTACAATAAACACATTTTTTTTAAACTAATAAACTATTTGTTAATTCTTAATGCTATATTATGATTATTTATGGAGTAATTATTGTCAATAAAATTACATATTTACACGCATGTAATTTGTAACTAAAAGAACTATTATAAACATTTTGAAATATTGCTCTATTTTATTTAGTTTTTCTTATTTGAATGTCTGTGTAGTAGTTTTTATTTAAAGTCCACAGCCCTGTCTCGGTGTGAGCCTGAGGTGATGTGTGGTGATTCAGGAGCTCGTTGAAGCAGCAGTCATGGGTTCCCTTTAACCTTTGTCACTTTGAATCTGCCTCCTCATTTTGTCAGTCTCCCGACGTTTAGATCAGTCGTGTTTACAGCCCGTTTATAATTAGCTCACTGAGATTACAATTAATACATGATGTGATTTTAAATTTTTGTTTTAGCTACCTTTGTTATTGATCAACAAGTGCAAATATTACACATTTTTGACATATCTCCTAACTCTAGTTGCTTCCATTTAAGTATGCATGTTTTTTTCTACTGCATATGTGTCTTCGCAGCATTGTCTACTGTTCCTATTAGGGATGTAACAATAACCAAAATATCGTGATATTGTATCGTCAAAGTTCTCCCAGTAATATCGTGGACCATCACAATATCTCAAATCACAAGTCTCTTTGCTTAAATTAAAAGTTATGATGCAGCAATAGTAAAAAAAAAAAGACAGAGGGAACTACATAGACCATGATCCTTTGCTCCATTTCAGTGCAGACTACAAGAAGAAATAACAGTTCTAAGCACATTTAAGTCTTAGTTCTTTGGATTAAGTTTTGTCATGGCATTTTAAGAGGAAAAAATTGTATATTTACAGTTTTATTAGCCTCCACAAAATATCGCAGTAAATATTTTACCATGAGATTTATATTGTGAAAATATTGCATTGAGAGATTTGGATATTGTTACATCCCTAATCATGAGCCTCTCCATCATATCATGAGATTTCCCACAATATCGCAATAAATTTCGTACCGTGAGGTTCATGCCATGACGATATCGTTTCATGAAACTTGGATATCTTTACACCACTAGTTCCTATCAATTGCCAGTTTTATTGTAAAATTATGTAAATTGCGTAAATTTGTAGCTTTGTGTTTTAAAAACAATCAAAAACTGAGCAACCAAGCTACCTCCAGTGGCCACCGCAATTTTAAGTACTATATGACATCACACAGGACTGCCCCGATTAAATAGTCCATTAAGCTTCATTTGGTCTTCTGATAATTTATGTAATTAGGTTGTTTTTTCAGACCAAAAGTTTGTTTTCATATCTGACCGTTTGGACTGCTCACTAGCTCCTTCCTCAACATGATGTTGCTGTGACATGTCCGCTCAGTTGATTTAAACAGGTTTTGGCACTGTCTTCCTACCGGTGAAGGCAGGATGACAGCGCCATCTGCAGTCCGACTTCCTCAGGACAGTATCCCAGGAGTGTGAGAGTAAAAAAGCCCCCTCGTCCCAGTTTATAGTCTCGTAGGCACGTTCCCGTATTTCAATTGCCTCTTTAATTCCCGATTTAATGCCCTGATTAAAGCCAGGTCCGTTCAGGTAGCTGATGAATGCAAGAGAATGGACTGGACTAAAGCATATTTTCTTGTTGCTGTGTTTGTTTCTATGTTGTTGCTGCAAAACCTTGAATTTCCTTTGGGATCAATAAAGTGTCTGTCTGTCTGATTACAAACACCTGTCTGCGGGGGCGGAGTTTGAAGTGTGGATACGTGTTAGACTGATCACACTGCTCCAGACCCCACCTCTCCTCTTCCTCACTCTTGTCTTTAGTTCTCCAGGTTCCGCCCAGTTCACCCGCTCCTACTTAAATATGTCTGTTTTGTCATTTCAGGCATCCACTCCGTACAGTCTGGAGTCGGAGTCTTTGAGGATGGACTGCATCATGTCTGGAGGAGCTTCCCCGACATTGGGCATCAACTCTGTCACTAACAAGGTACCAACCACAGGGGGCGACAGGGAGCGAAGAGTGTATTGTACAATATGAACAACAGAAAAACAAGCTCTATTCATGCTTATGTCACAAACCAGGATGACGTTTGGAAACATGTAATGACAACTTCCGACGGGCCCTGTTCCCGGTAGTAAGTCTGAGAAAATCTAGGAAAAATGAGAAAATGGCCCAGTTTTCTTCATCTACATGTAAAGATAACCAAATCTCTTGGTACGATATTTATTGCAATATTTTGGAGAAGCTGATAAAATTGTACATAGGACACTTTTTTGCTTTTAAAATACCTTGACAAGATTTCGGTCTGAATTATTTCTGTCCTAATCCCAAGAATTCAAGTAAAAAGCATATCTCTTCATGTTGCCTGCTCTGAAATGAATCATGGGATATGTAGTTCCCTATGTTTATTAGCTCTTGCTACTATATAACCATGAATTAAAGCAAAGGAACTTGTGATTCGATATATTGTGACAGCCCACGATATTATTGTGAAACTTTTGCCAATATGATATCATGATATTTTGGTTATTGTTACATCCCTATCTCCATATCATTGTTGCATTCTGTTCTGTTTGGCTAATCAGCAATTACAACCATACCTCAGTTTTTATAATAACTGTGAGCGCACTGGGTACATGCAATTAGAGGCACCAAATTCAAGATGATTCCAAACAGCACATACGTATGCAGTCTTCATTTTAGCGCTGATCACATTTACTTCAGTGGGTTTGGCGAGCCCAGTGTCCGGAATTACACCAGAAGTTATCACATGTTTACAAACGTCTTCCTAGTTTGTGACGTAAGTGTGAATAGAGACTATTAAGAGTATAAGTATGTATGAAATAAGAGGTACCAACCACAGGGGGCGATGGGGAGCAGAGAGTGTACTGGCATTATAAACAACAGATTTTTTTTTTTTTTAAAGCATTGACCTTGTGTAGCCAGGCTGGCGCCACCTAGTGCCTCCACTCAATTTAATTTCTCTCCAGCGACTATGTCAGGAATCAAAATACAATAGACAGTTCGCAAAAACCCCGGAAGTGCAAGTTGGGGCACCAGTCAATCAGCGAAGAGCCGTATATTCAGTGTTGTCAACGATTCCCAAGATCGAGGATTTAAAGCCGGAATAAAGAGAATTTTTGGTGAATTTTGCTTTTCTTCCTACGGGATTTGGGAGAAGCTTAATATACAAGTTAGCCCCGTTAGCGGCGCATTACATATGTCACGACCAAATAGCAGCGATTGGTTAAATGATAAAAGACTGCGAGGTCAGACGGTTTGTACGAAGTGAAACGAAGTAAAACCGGCTGATGAATCAGGCTAGATCTTGTGTGGGCCGATGGGCTATTCAAGGTGATCGCTGTACCCACTGAGGCTACATTTATACAATGACGTCTGAAGCAGAAGATGCAAAAGTGGCGTCGCGTCTTCACTTTTTATTCCATGTTTAGATGAGCGTTTTTGGGAGGAAATCTGCGTGGATACGGTGATGCAGAAGTGTGTGAAATTCGATTGGGTATGCGTGCCAGGTGGCTCGGTGGTGACTCTAGGTGGTGATGTATGTGACGTAAACGCGTACACGACGTGAGCAAATCTGACCAGAGTTTTGCGTCTTGGGCAGTGTAGACGGAAACACTGTAGTGGAGCGGATTCAACGTTTCCACTCTATAGGGTGGTTTCAGATTTTTGTGTTTTTAAGCCCCAAAAACGCCGTCACCGTCTAAACAAAAGGCACTTCTGATCAAATATTTTGTCGTTCTCGTGTAAACATGCTCTTAATTTTAGTGTTGCTTACCTATCCCTCCCCCAAACTACAGTAAGTGTTGTGGGGCATGTGCTTGTGCAACTGTGGGACTCAAACACGCTCTTTCTGCGCTTCGCTCTTTTGGCGCTGGGTCCGGATGGCGCAGCACTTAACGCCTACAACTCACAACAGGAAAAAAATTGAGTATAATTATGTATGAAATAAGAAGTAAACAACATGACATGATTTCATTTGTATGTAGTACTTGATTAATGCATTTAATTTATATGCTCTTCGTATTTACATGTTTTATTTATGAGTCTGTTTTTTTACCTTTCTCCAGTGCAGATATTGTATAAGCAGCTCTCAAGGTCAAAATAAAACTGCTGCCTCTAATTACAATTTATATTATAGCGTTTTATAGTATGATAATTTGGAAATTTGCATTAACATGTTAGTTGTTGTTACTTTTACCATCATCTCCTCAAAAGTCCGCTCCACTTTGTTATGAAAATCGCTTATAAACTCATCATGGTGAATAATTTGGACGCTCTGAACGCATAAAGTAAGTGAAAAATAACATTGGACTGACCACTGCAAGCTGTTTAAAGTGTGCTACTAATTTAGTTTTTGACGTTTTTAGGACCGTAGAAATCAGGTACAGCTCCCTTTAATGAACTTTGAAGGAGCGAGCCTAGTTTTCTGTTTAATATGTTTTGTAATTATGTTTTATATTTAATGGGATAATCAACTATGCATGTAATTAGTCACAGCCTCGTCACAGCCCTGATTAAAAATAGTTTAATTTATAGACTTTTTTGTGAAGGTATACCTGGAATGGTGTTTTGGTTTTTGTCACTGCACGTTTTATTAAAAAATATGTTAAAATTAAGAAATTATATGTGTAAAGATAAAAAATATTTCTTAAAGGCATCTTATTTTGAAAAGGCCCATGTTATTATCTGTGTTATAATGTTGTTTCCTCATCACAAACAGATCTAGAGTTGTGTTTTGTTTTATTCACTCATGTTTAACACACAAATTCATTGCGTATTAAAGCTGAGTTCTTCTTTCACTTTTCACACTCTATTCCACCTTGTGATGTCATGTGGTAATACAGGGAGTGCTCCACTGTGTTTTTAAACTTCATACACTTTCAGTAGAATCATTTGGATGCTTTAAGACCTGGATTTGCCAATCTCTACTGAATAAAAGATAAGAAAAAGCGGTTACAAAAAGTAGTAAACTTGTAAAACAACTGGTATTATAAAGGGTTACTTAAACATGTGTGAATGAAAAAAATGCATGCATGTTTTTGAGGAGGGAACTACCGCATTTTTCGGACTATAAGTCACTCCGGAGTATAAGTCTCACCAGCCAAAAAAATGTGTAATGAAGAAAAAAAAACATATATAAGTCTCACTTTTTGGGGGAAATTTATTTTATAAAATCAGAGACCAGAAACCAACATTTCATCTTGAAAGTCAAGTTCTAGTAAAAACAATAGAACAGAGAACAACAGACTGTTAACGTCACATATGAACGGTTCTTCAGATAAATATAGCATAAACAACAGAACAGAACAAGTTTACCAAACTCTCCATCTCACTCCAAATCACTAAATCCATTTAATTCTTCATCCTCGGTGTCGCTTCTGAGCAACTCCACGACCTCCAGAGGTAAACAGAGCGCCGCTTCCTCTTCTGCATCGCTGTCATTAGACTCAGCATCAGAGTTAAAATTATTCTGGTCTTTCTGAATCCCGACAGGATGGTTTCGGTGTCACTGAAATCCAGGCTTTATCCATCCATCCAATGACTTTCCTGAAAGTTTCATGGTGCAGCCTCCCGGTGTCACAAGTTTCTCACTCACTCCAAACTTTCTTTCTGCTGCTCAATTACCTTTTTGGCTGCAGATTTCACTACTTGCAGCTTGTAATTAGCAAAATATAATTTTCTTTTTGGGGGCATTTGTGTTCAGTCTTCTCAGTTGTCTTTATAAGCTGGTTTCAATTTTCAGTGTTACAGAAGTAATGATGCCATCGACTGACATGATACAGACAGAACAGAGGCTCTTTCTGCATTAGACATGTGCAGTAGAGTGAAGTGACGGTGGTACAGGAGGAACAGGAGCAGCAGATACTGACACACAAGACTAGAGCCTCTCGAGGTTTCAGTGTGAACATTTTAACCCTCTCCAGGCAGGCGTTGCAGATTTGCAACAGCTAAATTCCAATTACCTACTTACTCCACATCCATATTATATGAGCTTTTTTTTACTCAGGAGCCTTTTCTCCCATCCATGCTGATAAATGTGGGCGATGCAGACTGTGCAAGAATGGCTACATGCAAACAGCCTGCCAGAAGTGCAAAATACTTTTTTTCTTTTTTTTTTACAAAGGATAAAAAAGTCAGAATTGTATATTACTACCCCATATTATAATTTTCCCCAAATTTTTCCTGATACTAAAAATTAATTTGAGCCTGAGAGGGTTAATATATAAGTTGCACTGGAGTATAAGTCGCAGGAAACACTCAAACCATAAAAAAATACCACTTATAGTCTGAAAAATATGGTACTTTTTAACATGGCTTGAAACTCACAAGACCTTTAATCGAGGTCTGCTGTTTTTCCTTTAACAAAAAATATTTGCCAAACATTTATAGAAGTTATACCTGGAATGTGGATTAGAACAGTCATTGCACATAGTTTTTGGCCATGTCACAGCAAATTGTATTTAAAAACAATATTCATATCAAGGGAAGAAATTATAAGTGTAAAAAAAAATCTTCATATCCTTTTAAAATGAAAAGAGACATATCCAGCGGTCGACTCTGGGTGGGCCACAGTTCTAGTTCAAATGTCAAACTGTCCCGGGACGTCCTGTCTGCTTTAAACCTCGCTCCAGTCTCACCTCTGCCCTCTGACCTTTGACCTCTCATATCCTCCGCACTGTCTGCTCTATGATGTGCTGCTGTCTGGAGGCGAGTAAAACGGCTTATTCCACTTTTCCAGACGCCATTTCTTTGAACACTTCCCAGAAATCTCTATTAAAGCCACGCTGATCTGTCCGGTCAGTTTCACCACCGAACCACACGACGGAATTATATTACAGCATTGCGTCTCGTCAGTAGATGCAGACGCTCATCTATTCTTTTTACCTTCCCATTAAAACCAGGAGGAATACACAACTGTCAATTTTAGTTTAGTTTAGTTTAGTTTATTTATTTAATGAGACCTA